AAATAAAAGTATTTTGGGTAAAAATTCTCGGCGCTGCGAGCCTCGGTATTTCAACTAAAAACTATTCCACAAATTTTAGAATTATTACGGTAAATTACGAATACAGTCACGTGATCATAACTATGTAATAATCAATTATTCTCAACTAGATGCAGTACTATATAGTCTGGCATTAATATGTATACTAACCTCAGTGACATTTTTTTGAACATGTAGGGGATCAGACTGGTTGTGGTGACAACTGACGAGCCTGTCATCATTATATAATGTAAACACTTGTAGTTACGTTTATTTCTTTATTAAATTTCATATAATATAGTAATATGAACAAATGTAGTAATTTAACTGCTGATGACCGACTTAGAATTGGACGAGTTTATAATAGTTTTTGGAAAATGGTTTGGGTATAGAAATGACAACACAGTAATGAGAGTGACTTTTGGAAAGCTGTCATAATTAGTTTTCACGTATCTGTTGACCGACTTAATTAGTTGGTTACTAGTGAATGGCTGTGTTAGATCCGTCTTCATTTAGGCTCATGCGAGGTCCTGGACGGAACTTGACTCAGTGATTTGGAACTAATTACGATATAACCGTCGCCATCCGGACTACTATTTCTGACAGTTGGTATTTGTAGTTATTAATATAGTGAACGATTAATCAAGATATGACGTGTTCAGTACTTAGTGTGATTGGCTGTGTGCAAGTTGAATGTGTGAAGGTGACGCCTTATGTCCTTAAACTTCTTTTGATACGTAACTAAACCATCTAAGTCCTTGGTCCCAGAGAGAGCTCCACGAGGCGAGAGAGTCTTGGTCAGTCCTGGGCAGAGTCTCCGAAGAGGCAGTTTGCCTTGAGGCGTTCTCGATGTTGCTAAAGACTAGCTATTGAAACGTATTTCGTTGTGTGCGTCTATTTGACTGTGAAGTTTAAGTGACTTTCTCGGTCCGGTACCTCAAAAGCAGACGTGATAGAGACAAGACGGAAATTCCCCATGATAAAGCTATGAAATACAGAGCTTCACTGAAATGGATATCCTCTTGGGTTGCAAGATTATGGGGACAAATTTAAGATACAATTTCCATGACATTATGTACAGTGAGAATCAAGGAAAAGGTTAAATAATTGATGTCAACTGATGTGTTTTGTACACATAAAAGAAGAAACTTGTAAAGTGGGGTTTAAAATCATCATGGTTTAATTAAATGCAAAGCAAAGTGAGAGACAAAGACGTTGAAAACAAGTATGACCTGTCAATCATCTTTATGACAGTTACCACACGGCAATGTACACCATTTCTTCCCATGATTCCATGCACACTCCCATTCACAGGATTTGAGGTAATACGACAAAAACATAGAATAAAGGATGCTGACAGACATAGATTTTGTGGGTGATATTCGCTCACATTCGATCAGGTTCAAACTGCATGCATTGGATCGTAGAGTTACAATAAAGGAAGCGTAATGTACATTTAAACAATACACTATTTATTCGTACAGTGTTACAACAAAGGAACTACAATGTAACAAGGATGCAACTGATAAATACACGATAGAATGCCCTTTTTATAGGG